ATAATAGGTTATGGTGAATATTTTCAAGTTCGTTATAAACAAACCAACAAAATTCTAGGATAAGAGTTCATTAAGAACAAATATTCAACCTCATTAATCGGTGAATTCGATATGTCCTTCTCACTAGGATCATCCAAACTTTTGGATTCGAATTCTTTAGGAGTTTTCATAAAACTCAACCTATCTAGCGGTAAGTTCATTTTGTTGTTCTCAATTAGGACTACCCACTCAACTCTTGGTTATGAACTTATTAAGAATAAATATTCAACCAAAGTCGGTAAATTCATCAAGTCTTTCTCACTAAGACCACCTAAATTTTGGGCTATGAATTTAGTAAGAGCAATTAAGCTCAACCTGGGCATGTACATTGTTCTTCATAGGGATAGGTAGAGAAATGTACACTATGAGTCTTTCCATGCTTTTGTTTAATCACATTGAACTTAGATAACTAAGTTGGGTATCCACCATGAATTCCTCAAACGATGGGCTTTAAACCCATCCTCCTTGATGACTCTGGGACCAGTTTTCGACCTAACCCTTTGGTAAGCGGATCTACTAGGTTCCTTTCCGACTTCACATACTCTAAAGAGAGTACTCCATTCCTTATCAAGTGTCTAACAAATTCATGCCTCATGCAAATGTGTCTCCTCTTACCATTGTAAGGTTGGTTCTTAGCCACACTAATCGCAGCTTGTGAACAAGACAGTAAGGAAACTGGAAGAGTCGGTCTTCATCATAATGGAATTTCAGCTAATAAATTTTTGAGCCATTCAGTTTCTTGCCCATCTAAGTCAAGAGCTATAAACTCTAATTCCATAGTGGAACGAGTTATACAAGTTTGTTTTGCAGATTTTCACGAGATCGTTGCTCCACCTAAAGTAAAAATATACCTACTCATCGAGCTTACTTCATCATTATCAGAAACCCAACTGGCATCACAATATCCTTCTAACACCGCAAAATAGCCAATAAACTCAACTCTCCAATCCATCATACCCTTAAGGTACTTAAGTAAGAGACGAAGAACGACCCAATGTTCACCACTTGGGTTGTGAGTATATATACTAAGTCTGCTCACAGCTTAGACAATATCAGGTTGAGTATAGTTCATTAAAAACATCATGCACCCAATTATTTTAACATATTCTGTTTGGGAAATGTTATTTCCTTTATTTTTAAAGAGATGTATGCTTGAGTCATAAGGAGTTCGAACAGGGATGACGTCAAAACTGTCAAATTTTTTAACACTTTTTTTCTATAATGAGCTTGATTTAAAGAAAATCCTTTTTCAATTTTGGTAGCTTTGACTCCTAAGATTATATCGACTTCTCACAAATCAGTCATCTCAAACTTAGTAGACAAAAAATCTTTTATTTTGTTAATAGACTCGATGTTAGTATTGAAAATCAACATGTCATCAACATATAAACTTACTATGATGATATCAGCACCAAACATCCTCAAATACACGTATGCATCCGAACGATTCACAACAAAACCAAAATTAAGGATAATTTTGTGAAATTTCTCGTACCATTATTTAGGATCCTGTTTGAGGCCATAAAGAGACTTTTTGAGCCTACACATTTTGCCTTCCGTACCATGCGCCTCAAAATCAAGGCGTTGCTCTATATAGATCTCCTCATCTAGATCTTCATTCAGAAATACAGTCTTTACATCCATTTGATGTAGTTGCGACTTGTGAATAGAGGTTAGTGCAAATAATGCACATATCGTTGAGATCATTGCTACGGGAGAGTAGGTATCGAATAGGTCTATACTGAATTTTTGAGTGAATCCTTTGACGACTACCCTTGTCTTGTACTTCTGGATACACTCTGAGTTTCTTCTGGAAGACCCATGTGTACACTTTGATGATATATATGATGCTTCAAATTTAGATCCAACATCTTTAGTATATATAATTAACTCATCATTTAAGATTGAATCTTCATCGACTCGATCCTTTAGTTTGTGGCCTCAAAAAGAAATAAAATTAACAATCTATTTTTTAATTTTATATTAAAAATATATAAATCATTGACACTACAGATTATTAAGAAAAGGACACACGATCTATCTTTTTTAAAATTTCTTTCTCTATTGAAAGAGCATCTTATTACACACAATCATGCGTTTTTAGGTAGAAATAAGGTGAAGAAGGGAAAGTAACAATTTAATTCCAGTCGACATGATTATGGAAGCTTAACGATTCTTGCGAGACAGTTATCTGCCGGACGTGTCAATGGTAGGGTGATAGTCGGTACATTTGTGTTTATCTCTTCAAGCCTGCAGAATATAAAATGAATTAAAGTTATGAGTGTTGAGGGTAAGTGAAAGACGAATGTCTAAAATTCTAGATGAATAAAAATATATATTACTTTAAAATTTTCAGGGTGATCATGGTTCTGCACGCTGATGCATGTTTTTTTTTCTTTGGATATTTATTGTGGGAAGACTTTTGCAATTTCTTTTAGAATTCAAAGTAATTGTTTACTTGTAATAGGCATGAAAAAAAAACAGAGAGAATAAGAACTTACTTGTAATTGAGGAGGAAATAGTGGAGGAAAATGGAGACCTCCAGTTTGCCTAGCTCAGAACCAGGGCAGAATCTGCTCCCTCCTCCAAAGGGAATGAAATTTTTCCCCTTCAATCCAGGGTTCTGCATTTAGGTGAGTGTCAATTAACATCATTCCTTGGTATATGTGAAGCAAAGTCCTCTTCATATATGAATTTGGTATATTTATTTGTTTTACTGACCTCCCATCTCGAAGGAAGAAACTCTTTTGGGTTTGGATAAATGGTAGGATCCATATGAATAGCCCTACTCCAAACCAAAACTTTCCATCCATTAGGTATGGTATAACCTGTAAATCAAAGGAACCCTTTATTCTTTGAGACAAACATTGAAAGTATTTTCGAGAAAAACGAAGAAACAAAGTTTAGAAAACTAACCATTAAGGTTAACATCAGTTTCAACCTGACGAAACAGCGTGAAGGCGAAATTGGCTCTTCTCATCGACTCATCAATCACCTGCAAGGAATCAAACGCAGCACGGTTAATTTGTTACGTACTACATATAGTGCTGTCGACCATCTGAGTTAATTATAAGACAACGAACCTTGGGCAGATAGACCATCTGCTTGATTTCAGTGAGGGTCAGGCCATTCTGGGAAGATGGCCTTCTCTTTATGACCCCCTGCTGTTCTTCCTTTGCTTTTTGCAACATTTCAGGATGGTGATGGAGGTAGATGGTTGCCCACATTGCAGTGTGAGCCGCGGTTTCGTGACCGGCGAACAAGAATATCAGCAACAAATCCATGAGATGCTCATCATCCAGTTTTTCACCATTGTCGTATTCTGCTTCCATGAATAATCAATCATTTCTTTCTTGGAGTCGGGCTCCTTACTTTTGGCTCTTCTTTCTGCTACTTTGTCTTTAAATATCTTGAGCAGCATTTTTCTGGCCTAATGAACATATCAAAGTTTGGTATATATAATCAGAGCTCGTCTTATATCTGATGAAAACAAAAGTTCACAATTGATAGGATAGACGAAATTAATTCACCTTAAGTGCTCGATGGAACACAAAACCAGGGATATTAACGGGCACGGAAACAATGCCGGGGAACAAGTCGTTGTAACATTTAACCAGTGACGAAAGAACCGACTCTTCAGTGGTGCCCAACACAATGTGTGCGATAACCTTGAAAGTGATCTTCCTCATCTCATAGAAGAAATTGGAGGGTCCTTTCATGGAGGAAAGCTCTTCCAATGAGCTGGTCACAATCCCTTCGATAAGCTCGATATGGGAGGCTAGTGCTTCGTCTCCATTGATGGGATTCATCGCTATCTTACGCAAACGCCTGTGCTCCGTGGCTGTAATTCCATACAGCGATTTCTTCCCCGCTAGTTGTTTTGCCGATGAAGGGTAGCCGAACAGAACGTGTTCATCGGCCAATGCCTTGCGGCAGAGCTCCGGACTGCAGACTATGATGGTTGGACTCCCAAACAAATGGGTTTTGTAAATGCCTGTTTTCCCATGCCTGCAACCACAAATTCCCTTGCACGTCAGACGACAAGCATTTCAAGGATGAAAAAGAAGAGACGATTAAGAAGCTTATAAATAAGCTTTAATCAAGTCGGTGATGAAGGTGTCTGGGTCCTGGGAATTGAAAGCTTTGAAGAAGGAATAGATGTGGCCGATGAAGGGCCATCCCATATCACCAGGAGGCAGGGTGTTTTTCTTCTTCCCCAACCTAGTAACATAGTACCATTCATTTATATTTTTTAAGAAACCAAACACAATAACTATGTTGCAGCCACAACTGCCAGGATTGAACTCAGCAATTCTAGCCCCATTTTATTTTTCCTCTCTCTTTTGCCTCTCGATACACATTTTCGGGTTCGAACGTGCTTCCTTTTATAGACACAAATCGCTGTACGTATATGTTCTCTAGAATAGTCAATGTTTTTATTTATGTTTATGTAATTTTTTATATGCATTCTATTATGAGTAATTATCCGAAGCATTGGTGATGAGACATGGAATAATAATTTTTATATTATTTAAGTTATAGTTTAATTTTTAAAAGTATTTTTTTATATTATAAACCCATTAAGTTGTCTTTGTGATTAAAAAAATATTGTTCTTTTGATTAAATGAAATATTGTTATTTTTTGATATTATAAATTCGAACTGTTGCGTCTGTTGTGAGTAATTATCCGAAGCGTTGGTGATGAGATTAAAAAAAAAAATCATACCGACACCGGGATAATATTTTTGTATTATACAATTTATAGTTTATTTTTTTAATTTTTTTTATAAATTGAATCAATAATTAATAAAATTATTGAATTGGGATATTTTTTTTTTTTTTTTTTTTTGGATAAATCAATTCAATTTTATATCCAAAAGAGCAGTAAAACTGCTTCAAAACTCTGAAAGTTCTTACATAAAAATCAACACTTACAACACTATACAACAGAACTGAAAACATCAATGTTCAATACCCCATTGATTACAAAGAGTATTATTGACATAGTCATTTCTATTTATTTCTCTACCCTTAAGTTGAATAGCAACAGAGTCTTTAATAGCAAGGAGTAAGGCATTAACATTTCTTGAGCGTCCTTGGTAAATTCTCTTGTTTCTCTCCTCCCAAATAATGTAAGTAAAAGTAGTCCAAGCTAGCTTCATAATAGTAGTGAGTAGTGATTTTCCTTTCCATGAAGCACAAGCCCATGAAATGTGAGCATCCCATGAACAAGTTCCTCTGCAAATGCCATTAAGATGCAGAACAGAGTTCCAAACAGAATTTGCCACAGAACAATGAAGAAACAAGTGGTCCCTAGTTTCCCTCTCTTCACTACAAAGCACACAAATACCGTCAATGTTTAACCCCATTCGAATCAGCCTATTTTTGGTTGGTAATCTGTCAAGGAAAGCCATCCAAGTAATAATACTATACTTAGGGACATGAAGAGGAAACCAGAATAGTTTATGCCAAGTAACCTTGTCATCTTTGTTACGGATGTGATGCCATATGTCTTTGATTGAATGAGTTCCAGAAGCAAAAATGGGGGCAGCGTGATTCCTCATACTGAGCAGTTTACGAAAGCTCCAGCTTGTATTGATCCTAGCCTCCATAGTCCAAAAATCAGAGTTCTTGATAACATAAGTTTTGATCCAAGCGATCCATAGCGAACCATCACCCGCAAGGATTTTCTTTATCAAGTGCAGAATACAAGTTTTATTCCAAGATTTTATGTCTTTTAGGCCAAGACCCCCTTCCGATTTTGGGAGGCAAAGCTTATCCCATTTAACTCTTGCACCTTTAGCAGCAATATCAGAACCTTTCCAGAAAAACCTTGAACATAACTGCTCAATCCGATTAAGCACAGATTGTGGAAGGATTAGCTGCCTACACCAGAAATTAGTGATACTATGAAGAACAGTTTTAATGAGCTCGAGTCTTCCAGCGTAACTCAAATGTCTTCGAGACCATTTATGGAGACGGTCTCTAATATTGTCAATTAGAGCTATGCAGTCTTTCTCCGAAAGCTTTCTAGATACTAGTGGAACACCCAAGTATCTAACAGGTAAGCAACCATGGTTAAAACCCGTAATCTGTTTGATTTCTCCTATTTTCATTGGTGAAATTCCAGCAGTGAAGAATTCACATTTATGAGCATTAAGTTTAAGGCCTGAAATTTCATAGAAGTGATCAAGAACACTAATTACCCCACAACAGATTCTACATTCCCTCGACAGAAAATAAGCAAGTCATCTGCAAAGGTGAGATGAGTTAACCCAATCTTTTTACATTTAGGGTGGAAGCCAAAAATACCTCTAGTAGCAGCTTTGTTGAGAATACTAGAAAGGATATTCATTGATAGTACGAAAAGTAAAGGTGAGATGGGATCACCTTGTCTTAATCCTCTAGCACCTTTAAAGAAGCCAATTAGACTACCGTTAAAAGATATAGAGTACCGAGCAGTAGTGAAACAAGCCTCAACCCACTTAATATAATTGGCAGAAGTCCAATAGCAATGAGGGCAGTAGAAATAAAATCCCAATGTAAAGAGTCGAATGCTTTGTGGAGATCAATTTTCATTGAACATCTTGGTGATAAAGTCTTCCTTCCATAACCTTTGACAAGCTCCTGAGCTAGAAGAGTGTTATCTACTATGTTCCTCCCTTTAACAAAAGCCGTTTGGTTAAACGAAATAATTCCAGGGAGAAGGGGTGTCAATCGATTGACCAATATTTTAGAAACAGCTTTATAGACCACCGAACAACAAGAAATAGGCCGAAAATCTTTCACCTGGCTAGGATTTGGAATTTTAGGTATCAAAGTAATACAAGTGGCATTAAATGCATAAGGTTGAGTGTAAGGATCTCTAAAGAAGTGAGTAACAGCTGCCACCACGTCATCACCAATAATAGGCCAAGCTTTCTTGAAAAAATATGGAGTGTAACCATCCGGACCGGGAGCTTTATCGTTGCCTTGAGAAAAAAATGCATCTTTAATTTCATCACGAGTAACCTCCTTAACAAGATCATTAGAGCTTTCCAAAGGCAAAGAGCTAAGAAGCAGCTCCTTTAAAGTGTTCGGGTCACAAGATTTAACCTCAAAATTAGTCCCAATCAGGTTGGTAAAGAACCGTAAGACTTCTGTAGCCATATCCTCATAAGTTTCTAATCTTCTTCCTTGGTCATCAATAAGCACACGTATAGTATCCCTCTTCGTTTTAGTAGCAACTGCAGAGTGGAAAAATTTTGTACATTTATCACCGTGATTAATCCACTGTACCTTCGCTTTCTGTCTTAAAAACATGTTTTCGGCTTCTTGAAGGAGGTGGAGCTCGTTTTGCAATTGGGATTCTTTTTGGAAAGAATCAGCAAGATTTAAAGATTTGATCTGTTGATCCTCGAGCTCCAGTTTCTTTTGGTTGACACGATCAGAAATATTGCTATAATGCTGCTGGTTTAGGGTTTTCAAACTGATTTTTAGGCGTTTAAGCTTGGAGAACAGTTGTTGCATAGGGTTGCCCTGGGAAAAAGAGTGCCAAGAATGGCTAACTATGCTTAGGAATTCAGAGTGGTGGGCCCAAAAGTTAAAAAATTTGAAAGGCTTAGGATGGTCAGCATGAACCTCTTTAGAAAGCCAAGCAATTACCAAACAGTGGTCAGAAATTCCAGGAGCAAGGAATTCCACATGTGACTTGGGAAAAGCAGTAAACCAAATAGGATTAACTAAGATTCTATCAAGTTTTTTTGCTAGATATGATTCGTGTTGTTTGTTGCTCCAGGTGAAAGTAGGGCCAAAATAAGGGTGGTCAAGCAATTCCAAGTCAAACAAAGCATCCTGGAATTCCTTCATGTCTGGAGTAATAAAAGGGCCCAACAGAGCAGAATTTGAACTTTCTGTCGAATTAAGAATAACATTAAAATCACCTCCCAGTATCCAAGGAAATTGCCATGCTGGCTGTTCACTTCATGTAGATGCTGCCATAGTTGCCTTCTCAAAACACCTTCATTTCTGCCATAAATAGCTGTGATAATCAGAGGATTACTAAGATAATGACCTTTAATGGTTATACACTGATCAGACATGTGTATAATCGAGAAATCAATGCCTTTCTTCCAGAGGATCAAAATTCTGCCATTCTCAGCAAAGTTGTGATTAGTACATAATTCCAGTGCTCAAACTTAGAATTCAGAATAAACGAAGCATTACTAGTTTTAACTCTAGTTTCCAAGAGGCAAAGAACATCAATATTCATAAGACGAGCTCTCTTTAGAACACCATGTTGTTTAAGAGGACTGTTGAGTCCTCTTATATTCCAAAATCCCACAATCATTGAGAAAGAGAGGATGTAGCAGCCACATTAACTCCTACTACAGTATTTTTAGCTTTATCAAAACGGTCTTTCTTTTTTGTTTTTAGTTCGTTCAAAAGATTGGCTACACCTTTAGATGCTTCTCTTTTCTTTGGTTTACTTTCATTCAAAACAGGAGATGAATCTTCAATTACGGATAGTATTTCGAATCTGTTTTTTGACCCAGCAAGCACAGTTGTCGATGAAGTCTTGCCTCTTTCCCGTGATAACAAAGTAGGTTCAGTAACCTCTACTGAAGGAACAGTAAGGTCAGGGAGTATAACATCTTTAACAGCAGAAATAATTTGATCAGTGGGAATAATGTTATTGCTTGAGTCAGTACTAACTTCAGTTGAAATAAGCTCCTTACTGTTGTTGCTAAGAGAAGTTAAATTTCCTTGTAACATCTCAGTTCCTCCTATTAACGGTTCAGAATCATTAGCATTAGGAATAGTTTCTTTCCTTTTCCATACTTGTGTAGGCTGCTGGGCAGTCTGTTTGTGAACTTTACAGCCCTTCTCTGTGTGGCCAAACATTTTACAACTCCTACAGCTTGGTGGTAACCAAGGGATCTCCACAAGCACTGAAGTAACAGACCCATCGTTCAATACGACCTCCACATACTCAGGTATTTTATCATTTGGCCCTATTTCTAAACAGATTTTTGCAAATTCCAACCTTGTTTTTTCTGCAGTAACAGAGTCCATGGAGAGTGGGACTCCAATGGCACTAGCAATATAACTAAGACCAGCTCGGGAGTAAAGTTCTAAAGGGACATTGAATAAGTGAACCCAAACTGGAATTTTTGTTAGGTCAAAACTGAGTTTTTTCAGATTTGGTTCCCAATTTCTAAGGATCAACGGTTTGTTGTAGATATGCCAAGGTCCATGTTCTAACACCCAATCTCTAGCAGCATTCGAACTAAAAGAAAAGAGGAAGAGATTGTTACCTGCTTTGCTGATGCGAACCGGACTGCCATTCGAAGCATTTTTCCACATGGCTTCAACGATTCTTTGCATTGAGATGAAATTTGGAGGTGGCCCAAGGAATTGTCCTACTAACGAGTGTTTCCACTCCGCTATCCCATCTTCAAAAACCTCTGGCGGTGGCTGAACCACCGGAGACCCATCGCGTAGTGTCGGAGGATAAAATCAAGGTCAAGACCTTTTGAAATTTCAAACAACTTTCTCCAATCCATGGTTGCACGGGAACTGGTTGAGGAATAAGAGAATGAGGGGACAGATTAACCAGATGGAGAGAAGAAAACAAGACCGGAGCCACGAACGGAGAACCCAGAAACGTTAAACCTGCTAACGTGCACCTAGAGAAAACCGGCTATCGTGCGCTCAGGAATTCTAATTGAAGTACTTACGTTACTTGCAACGAATTTGAATTGGGATATTCGTTGTGAATATATATATATATATATATATATTATAAGAATTCATTTATTCTTTTCTTATCTTTTCTTTTCCTCTATGCATGTTTCCCGACTGGCCATTGTATGAATCCTGACCTAAATGTTGTTCTCATGTATTAAGTCACAAGTTTATAGACCGCGAGACTGATTTTGGGATACTCTAAGGTAAGCATCCAGGCTGATTCTTTTAACATGCAGGTATAGTGTCGTGGGATTACTGCAACCAGCAATTCAACATTGACCGAGACCTGAAAAGTAGGAAATATAAATATTCTAAACTATTGGGTCTGCTGCTATTTCTTTAAAATTTGATTAGCAGACAATGGGTTCTGCTTTGCGTGGACCTGTAAGAACTGAAGACTTTGGGGTCGTCCTTACCTTAACGCTACCCTCCATTGAAACGCCGTCGTCAATCGTCTAACTGATAAATTTTACTTTTTTATTTTCCTATTGTATGAAATATCGTTGAAGTGATGGAGTGCACCTTGTTGATCCTATTTTCATAAGTGTTGGATTTGTAGGAATATTAAAAGACACTTCACACACCAATAATAACCGGTTGATCTAATAAGATGAGACACTAGATTTTTACGGATTGGGAGGATTACTCTCATAATGGACCTTTGTAAAATCTGATCTGAATTAATCGGTCAATAAATCAGATATCGATGATTAATTAAAAAAATTCACTGGTTTACACTACGTTAATTAGGTTGACTTTATATATAAATATATATATATACACACAACCATACTTCCTTAGCCATCATTCCACATGTATTCAAGATGTTTTATTGACTGAAGCTTCAAAGTCAAATATGAATTGTAAGGTGAAGAATATATTTGTGTGTATTAATCAAACCGCTTGACTCGCATTTAATTTTCCGTTCATTGGTTTGTTGATCGTTGTGCATTTTTTTTCTC